AGAACGAAAGTCATATTCTGAGCTCGAGCGCACATGTGCTCGATATCCCGCTCGTTGCCTCACTCCGAGATTCCCTTTCCCGAGCGTATTGCGTGGGGTATAGTAACTTGTATTTCATTTCTTTTAAGTATTATGGCCCACATAGGCCCACCATTAATGCAACGTCTCCGTCTATTTCTTTGACGGACTTAATGGAACCAAACGTCATGGGCCGATTACTTGTCGATTCTGTTCCATAGAAGGCCGTCCAAGCCGTCACATTACTTTGCATGATCGCCAACGAACACGGCCGCAAGACAAATGTGATATGACGATTATGGATCTTAATTAACTATGACAGCACAACAAACTTGTACATGGATTACATCACACCACTAGCACTAGGCGGGTAATGACATCATTACCCGACGCAACGCCAGCAAACTGATCCTAGTTCTTCCCTAAACGAGCCGCCGTCGTTTTGGTTCAGAATTGCTCACTTCTGCGTACTCCTCGTCGGAATAACGCACCCATTTCCAGCAACGGATGACGGATCCATCGCCGACACCAAACAATTTGTTCGACTCATCTCCACGATTCATTACTGGATCATAATCACCTTAGCCCTCCCCAACAACATCAACAGTCGCCAGGTTGACTGGATCATATTCCGGCGCCTAGTCCAGTGGAAAGTGTCACGCCTTCTGAAGCGTCAGTCCAATACTTTATTGCATCCTCACTCTGCGCACAACAAAATAGAACATCAGGCGACAATGGAAATGCTTCCTTCTGCAATCTGCACTCAACAGCAAAGAAAATCTATACTCGAACTCAGGTCATACCTGCATTGCCACATTTGACGCTTGCTCGACAGTGCCCCTCTGCATCATCTGCTGCTACCTACTCCCTCCGTTCCTAATTGTAAGTCTTTTTAGAGATTCCACTACAAACTACATACGGATGTATATAGACATATTTTAGAGTGTAGGTTCACTTATTTTGCTTCGTATGTAGTCCATAGTGAAATCTCTAAAAGACTTATATTTAGGAACGGAGGGAGTACTTAACAGCGTTTTCCAAACAGGGCAACCCTTGTGTCATGACTTTTTTTTTGCAAGGGGTTCAACGCGAGAACAACACACTTATTACTGAAACATCAACAAATGATTGACAACATACCTGCATGCAAGGTCACCATAGAGCCGTCGTCACCCGCACTGACGACTATATCCATCTGCCCGGCTGTAGACTTCCCTCAAGCATACAAAACAACAACTGATTATAAAAAGTCAATCCACTTGCATGGTTTCATCTAATTAAGCAGTTCACCTTCCATAAACCCAACTGAAAAAGGATTTTTTTTCAACCCTAGATACTTCACAGCACCCACTAATGCATCACTGAATACATTTGTATTACAACTCAAGACATAAAGCATGCCTGCACGCAGGGCAGGTGCTCAGTTGCACAAACACATCACGAATGCAGAAAACAAGTCACACTTTGACCATTCAAACTTGCTGAAATCGTTTGGCATTTTTCACTCACCACCACACGTCACCAGCTAACCTCAGGTCCATTGCTTTCGTAAAATTATTCCTTTGGTGCCCCACCACACCACAATTTTTGCACTTCGTCGGCTTCCAAGGCTGATTTGGCACATCGCCACGATCTGGATAAGTAGTTCTCTTGTGCCCCAGCCATCGGCACACCAACAAGCATCACACTGTTAACTGCAGCTCGATTCTGGTCTGCACATGAACAAAAACAAGAAACAATCATATCATCATACTACCAGCACCATCTTCAAGTACTCTTTTTAAGAAATGTCCTTAATCAACATACCTGTTAGGATTGTCCTTGGTGCTACAGGTCCCATAATCCTCAGGAATTCAGTAAAAAACCACTCAAAACTCTACACGGTCTCATCGTGTACCAGGACGCCAGCTAAGATCACACTCTGGTTATGGTTTTTCAAACTGACAAATTGTCCGAACGGCATGTACTTCTTTTTCTTCAGAATTGCTCAATCATGAGCTAATTTCAACTAGTACAGTGTGTCAATTATTAATACAAACATGCTCTAAAAGTGCCATGTAGACAATTTCTCATGCTACCGAATGAATGTCACTGCATCGATAGATCTATGCATTCTACTACAATTTCATTCAAGCATTCTCAATAAATTCAGATCCAATCTAAGCTTACACGCGCGCACCTTTTAGACCATCACAGCGCCTGCAGGTTCATCTTACCAGTTGATAGTTCAGATTGCTGCGACGGGCTCTTCCGTCTTCCCAACACGGCAGTCTGTAACTCACACATCTGCGTGGATAGGCCGCCGACGGTTCATCCACTATCGGGAAAGTCGCCACCGCCCTGTTTGCTGGCAGATTCATCTCCTGCTCACTCTCACTCACCTCCTCCACAATAGGATACCTGACAAGCCAACAGAACGCGCAAGGAGACCCAAATCAGAACATAAATCTCAACAACAGTTTAGCAAGTCAGCTAGCTTGACAAATCCATGGATTCATCTTACCTTCTAATTGGCTGCATTAGGAACTCCATCGCTGGAATGGAGTCATGTGCGCTGCAGCACCCCGCTGACTGGAAATGGATTTGGATACCGCAGTCGGGGAGCCACCGGCCTGCAGTGAATGATTCAAGCCATCCACCTAACAGAGAGTGAATTTCCTGGTCCGCGAACCAGATTACCACCGCCAAATTACAAGCCACGGCTCATCTTCAGTTGGGTTTTCTACGAAGACCCTAACTGCCTTCTCAAAAGCGCTTACGCGGGGTGAGCAAGGTGTCAAGCTTGGGGCAGAAGCTCCAATCCTCAACCTAAAAGCAGTTTCAATTATTGTGTCAAACAATTTAACCCACTGAATATCAAGCTGCACATGAAACTACTGAACTGAGAGATGAAATTAACTGTTCAAAACAGACAGTTTGCACACTAATTCCTATCAAACCATTGAGTGCTCCCAGCAGAAATTCAACCAAACTGTATGACCTTACAAAGCATGAAAATATAGTACCGTAAATCTTCATAGCAATGTTGAATTTATTTCAATTCAGAACAGTGAGTTTGCACGCTAATTCATGTCACAGAGTACTCCCAGCAGAAATTCAACCAAACTGCATGACATTAGAAAGCATGAAATTAGAGTACTGTAAATCTTTATAGCAATGCTGAATTTAACTTCAATTGAGAACAGACAGTTTTCACTTTGCACACCAATTCGTCTCGCACCATGGACACCCGGAAATTCAACCAAACTATATGACCTTACGAAGCATGGAAATATTATACTAATGAAAATTTTCGTTTGATTGCTAAGTTTAATGTTATCACTGACCTCTTGTTCCAACGAGGAGCCTGAGGATTCATCTTCCCCGTCGACAGCTCGGAAGTCAGAGGCGGGCTGCCCCTTGTCACTGCCGCTGCCCCTTGCCACTGCCGCCGCTTCAGCCACGCCGCAGATCCGCCCTTTGGCGCTCACGCCCGTGGCCTCCTGCAGCGTCAACTTGACCACTGTCCGCCTGGCGCCATGTGCCGGCAACCCTTCCAGCACTAGACTCTCCCCCAACCTCCTCAATCCGATTGGATCTGGGAGAGACAAATCACAAAAGCTTAACCGCTAGAACTCGACACTGGAAAACACACAAGGTCGATTAGTAGCATCGGATCGACATACCTCCTGATTGCATGAGGAAATCCATCCTGTCGGTCGCCTGTTCTTCCACTCTCTCCCCTCCTTGCCTCTGAATCTCCAAAATGACGGCCGCGTTGGGGAAGAACAGACACACCTTGCATTCAATGCGTGGAGCAGCGACTTTTCTGAGCCACGGAGCAGACGGAAATCGAGAACCTGATCCACGGCTCACCTCGTCGGCGGTCGACGGCCGCCCAGAAACCCGTCCGCCCACGCTGCTAGCCCGGCCCACGAACCGCCTCTGACGCATACGTATTTCACTGCAGTCCGCTTTTACGAGCTGCCCTTAACGCACCGTATAAACTATTGGCCCACATCCACATGCATTAGCGAACGGAGGAGATATCGGGCACATGTGTGCTCGGGACCAATTACTCCACGTCCATCTAAGAACATCTACATCCGGACTTTACAAATCCGGGCCCTCAAACGTCCGCGGGCACTCCTTATTTTCTTTTTCACCATCCGGATGCAGATGTGCTAGGGCTGGTGGCGCCGGCCGGCTTAAATAGCCGGCTATGGCCTTGGGCGGTGAGCCAGAGCTTCGCCACGCGGCGTTCACACCGCGGCGTTTGTCAAACCGGCGGGTTTCCCCTATATCCGCCCCATATTTGGGCTGGATATGAAGGGTGCCGGTCAGACCGGTCGTTTGAGGGGCCCATCTGGATCAAAAAATCAAGATCGGACAGTGACCGGACGGTCCGTCCAGACGTATGAGGCGGGTTTGAAATGTCCGGTTGTAGATGTTCTAACAATAACAGTAAAATTTCAGGGGCCTCGTAAAACGAAACGATCCGCGTTGAAGCATTGGCGTTAACCGTCACTCTACCGAGCAGAAGGCCGATGGAAACGGCGCGGAGGCTGCAGAAAGCGATCCCGGCCCAGGACGAAGACTGTAGTCGCACGCAGCACAAGGTCCCGTGCCCGTGTGTGAGTGCGAGCAAGCAGGCGCCCCCAGTGGCCATCCATCCAAGCCGAACTCGCGCTCCGGTTGGTGGCGGTAGCCAGTCTCCTCATTTAAACTACCCATCTGCCCCGGTCCTTCCCTCCGCCCCGCCACTCTATTAAAACCCCACCATGCCACCACCTCCTCTGCAACCGCAAGTCCGCAACCGCAACCGCTCCGCCCGGCATCTCCAACCCCACACCCAGCCAGCACCAGGAGACGTGTACGTGCGCGTAGCACCAACCCCAGCCCAGCGGTGCGCCGCAGAAACAGGCAGGCAGGCAGCTCTGCCAGTGGTGCACGGCGGGACGGAAGGCCAGGGAGCGAGCCGTGACGTGCGGGCGCGGGCCGGGCTAGAGGCCTAAGTAGCAGCACCGATCGACGGACCGGTCATGCCGAGCGCGCTGGGGAGCGGCTTCGCCGGGTCGGTGAAGCTCAAGTACGTGAAGCTGGGGTACCAGTACCTGGTGAACCACTTCCTGACGCTGCTGCTGGTGCCGGTCATGGCGGCCACGGCGATCGAGCTGGCGCGCCTCGGCCCCGGCGAGCTGCTCACGCTCTGGCGCTCCCTCGACCTCGACCTCGTGCACATCCTCTGCTCCGCCTTCCTCGTCGTCTTCGTCGCCACCGTCTACTTCATGTCGCGCCCCAGGCCCGTCTTCCTCGTCGACTACTGCTGCTACAAGCCCTCCCCCAGCTTCCGGGTGCCCTTCACCACCTTCATGGAGCACATCAAGCTCATCTCCAACAACGACAAGAGCCTGCGCTTCCAGACACGCATCCTCGAGCGCTCCGGCCTCGGGGAGGAGACCTGCCTCCCACCGGCCAACCACTACATCCCGCCCAACCCCAGCATGGAGGCGTCCCGCGCCGAGGCGCAGCTCGTCATCTTCAACGCCATCGACGACCTCGTCCGCCGCACGGGCCTCAAGCCCAAGGACATCGACATCCTCGTCGTCAACTGCAGCCTCTTCTCCCCGACGCCCTCGCTCTCCGCCATGATCATCAACAAGTACAAGCTCCGCAGCAACATCCGCAGCTTCAACCTCTCCGGCATGGGATGCAGCGCCGGGCTCATCTCCATCGACCTCGCGCGCGACATGCTCCAGGTTAGTAAACCCATCCTTAATTATTTTGGTATTTGGCATACCTAATATCGGTACCCACTGCCACTGCACTCTTCACTCTTCTTCGCAACTAATTCGATCACCAGCTAGCTAGCGGCATAGATATGGATCTGATTATCTGATCGAACAGGTGCATCCCAACTCGAACGCTCTGGTGATCTCGACGGAGATCATCACGCCCAACTTCTACCACGGGAGCCGGCGGGACATGCTGCTGCCCAACTGCCTGTTCCGGATGGGCGCGGCGGCGATCCTGCTGTCCAACCGGCGGCGGGAGGCGCGGCGCGCCAAGTACAGGCTGGTGCACGTGGTGCGCACGCACAAGGGCGCGGACGACCGCGCGTACCGGTGTGTGTACGAGGAGGAGGACGACGAGGGGCACTCGGGCATCTCGCTCTCCAAGGAGCTCATGGCCATCGCCGGCGAGGCGCTCAAGTCCAACATCACCACCATGGGCCCGCTGGTGCTGCCCATGTCGGAGCAGCTGCTCTTCTTCTTCCGCCTCGTCGGGCGCAAGGTGATCAACAACAAGTGGAAGCCCTACATCCCGGACTTCAAGCTGGCGTTCGAGCACTTCTGCATCCACGCCGGCGGGCGCGCCGTCATCGACGAGCTGCATAAGAACCTGGAGCTGTCGCCGCGGCACGTGGAGGCGTCGCGCATGACGCTGCACCGGTTCGGCAACACGTCCAGCAGCTCGCTGTGGTACGAGCTCGCCTACATCGAGGCCAAGGGCCGCATGCGCAAGGGCGACCGCGTGTGGCAGATCGGCTTCGGCAGCGGCTTCAAGTGCAACAGCGCCGTCTGGAAGTGCCTCCGCACCGTCAAGACGCCCACTGACGGGCCCTGGGACGACTGCATCCAGCGCTACCCCGTCCACATCCCGGAGGTCGTCAAGCTGTGAGGCGTCATCGACGACGAGCTCAGCTCTCCGCCGCCGGCCGTACCCTGCATCTGCACGTACGTGCCCCCCAAAACCTGGAGCTCTGTGGGGGTCCCGACCAAATTAAACCAATCTCTCTCTCCTTTGCTCTTTCTTCTTTTCCTTCTTCTTTTTTCTATTTTAAATTAAATTACATGGATATTCGTGGGATGCGTCACACAAGGAGGGGGTCATTCACACGGAGATTAATCGGCTACCCATATATTTATATTGGACGACGCTAACGTGGGGGTGGTTGTTAAATTGTTTGTGTCACGGATTTCCACTGCAGTGAAAGGGATACTTACATTGGCACTGAGGGCTTGTCAATCAAATTCCTTTCAGTTGTGTAAATCTTCTTCATGCATGACTTCTTCTTGCATTACATGCATGTACTACTCGGTACTGCTTACAGGTTAGATGATGTAATTGTCAGAATATATTGTTTGGTGTCGTGTCACTAGAGGTTTCAGTTCTTATGCATATTGTTTGAATGGTATTATACTTCTCTGCAAATACTATGCAAGTGGAATCACGAGCTACTCATGAATTCATGATCTATCATACAGTTTAATTTGAACAAAACTCATGATCCATATAAGACAATTACCAAAATAACAAAAATACATCTACACAATGAGCTCGCTAACTCTCTTTTTTTTCATTAACGAGGCTCCTCCTCAATTTCCATTAAAGAAACCGCCACAAAGTTACTATAAGAGGCAATCAGCTATTGCGAACTAGGCGGACCAAATACGCGAGGATAAAACCAATTGGTCAGTTCATCATGATGCCGGTCAGAAGTAATTTTGATTGGAAGAACCTGCTGACGCCTAGCTCTGTATTTTAGCTTACTCTGACTTGGAAATGGATTTGCTCAAACAAATGCCGACTCTGACTTGGAAATCGCGTATACGTGCCTCCCTCCTCGGAGCCTCTTCATAGGGATTTCTTTGAGATGTACTACTATTTTCCCGGCCGGCTGGCTCCTTTGCACGAGTAGTACAACTGCTTTGTTTAAAGGAGGAGTACTCCGTAATTAGCAGTAAATGCAGTTGAGTTGCAGGGCCGACAACTTTGCGTGAACAGACACTTCCGTCGAATAGGAGAAGGGAGGCTTCGGAGTTTTGGGAGCCAATTAGTGTTTCAGTTCTACCGCTGCCTGGTGGAGCACGCAAAGAAAAAGGAACACGGACGGGGCAGGCTCTGTATTTATGGCGGCAATCAGCTGATGATGATACGGCTGGAAGTATGCCATGGCCGGCCACGAGCTCGCCCCACTACGCATGTCTGTCTACGTCTACGTCTACGTGAGCCATTGACAGCTCGATCGATTAGGCAGGACGAGGGGTAGGTAGGTGCCGGCCGGCGAGCACGGCCAACGGCGCCGCCTCGCGCTCGCGCTCGCAGGCGCGGATGATGAATGGCCGTCGCGGTGGGAAGGGGGTGCGCGTGACGCGACGGAAACGGGTGTTTGTTCGGGACGGCGTCGCGTCGGACGGGGGGGCACAGCTCGGTCTGGGCTGTGGTCGCGGTTGGGAGGCGTTAAATGCGTTGGCTTGCGCCGGGTGGGTGTTGGTTGCGCCGAGCCGAGCCTGGCCTTTTGGGCTGCCACGCTTTCGCCTGCTGCCGCGGAAGGGGCCGCCGAGTTAATGGCGACGCGATCGTCGTCGTTGGCGTCGCTTTTGCTGTGCTGTGGGGGAGGCCGGGCCGGTGCCGCCGTGGAAGTGGGAACAGGGCTCGCCTCTGGCTCAGGGCCCCCCAACGCTAAGCTAGCGGATGGAATTTATTGCTCCATCTGTTATCGGTTCAGACTTCCTCTCAGACTTCAGACACGTACGAGTACGACTGATCTCGCCCCGGCACTTTGTTTGTTTGGTCCTTGCTCTTAGTACGAAAAGGTCTCCTTGCCGTTGCGCTCCTATGCTGTTAGCCAGGCGTCTAGAGATGAGATCCATCCACTGGGCCGGGCTACAGTCTCTGCTTTCGTTGCCATCTTTTGTCTTCAGGGTTTGATATTCCAGTGTCGATGGGGTGGACGATGGGAAGATAATAATAGCGTGTATTTTAATGTATACTTGGCGAAATCGATTAGGGCATCCACAATGTGTGCATTTGCTGCCTCTAAGGCTGCCTCCAGATGTATAAAGGTTGCCTCTATACATTGCATCCCCGGCCTCTAAGAGCATTACTAGTAGAGCCCTCAAACCCTCAAACCCCTAAAAATAACTGTTTTTTTACAGTTTTCGTGAAAAAAACGCAGTAGACTAGAACCTCTAAACACTCAAACCCGTAAAAAAAATTAGAGGTCCAACCCTCAAACCAGTTTGCAATCCGTAGAAGTAGGGGTCGAGAGGAAAATC